GGGGTCAGCATGGCCTGAGGGAGAGGAGATGAGATGGGGACAGTGGTGGGGGGTCCGACCAGGGGTCAGCCCAGCTGCCCTCATCCCCCTTTGTCCTACCTCGTTCGAGCTGAGCCGGGTGGCCCGGCACCAGAAATTAGCTGTGGCCACGGCGATGCAGAACTCCAGGATGGTGAAGATGAGCAAGACGATGGAAATCCCATTCCCTGCGAGCTCCAGGATGGGGAAAACCCCATCAGCATCACCCAGGAGGAGGAAACTCAAGCTCAACCCCACAGGGTAGACCCCACCCCATATTTTTAGGTGAAGATTTTGAGGTTCCCCTCCTCTGTAGGTGTCAAGATCTCAATTCCTGCCACCACAAGGAGTGATTTTTGAAGGACCACAGCACTGAGCCTTCTCCAGCTCGCTGCTTTTTACAGCTTGCAGCTAAAACCAGGCGCTTCCAGGCTGTGAGTCATCTCCCGAGGTACCAGCCTAAAATAGGTTAGGGGCACAGCCCCGTGCCAGCACAGCCCTGCTCTTGGGATGTGGGGGTCCCCACTCCACAGCAATGGGGCTGAACCCCACAGAGAAGCCTGGCAAATCCCCCCCCCCTCCTGTCCCCTCAGCATCCAAGGGGGTGGTATAAGATCCAGGGGAGGGGGGATGGAGAAGGGGACAAGGGATGTTCCTCAGCCAACCCTGGGTAAGCAGAGGCTGGAGATGGGGAGGGGAGGATGGGGGGCTGGTTGTTCCCCCCACTGACCAGGACGAGATAGTTGTAGCAGTCGAAGCTGGAGCGGTAGAGCCCGTTGAGATTGAGGTCCACGATGAAGGCGACGATGCCCAGCAGAGCGAAGATGGCGCTGATGACGTTCATGGTCTGGCTGCCCTTGACCTACGGGCACAGAGAGGTTTTGGGGACAGGGTCAGACCCCAAAACCTGTGGGGACACTCCCCACCAGTAACAGCTCCAGTTGGTTTTTGGTGGGGTGGGTTTGTTTTGGTCCCTCTTTCTCATGGCTCATTTCCTGGGCCAAGTTTCCAAGGTGGCTTCACCCCAATGGGTTTTGCTCAGGGAGGGTCGAGCTGCTCCCACTCCCCTTCTCCATCAAACTGGGGGTCCCTGGGGACACTCACCGCACACTCCGTGGGGCTCTTCTCTGCTCCAATGGACAGGCAGCCTGAGATGATGAACTGTGGTGGGAGAGAGGGGGACAGTCACCTGCTACAAGG